GGGGGGTTATTTACAGTTATCTATTTCCATGGTGGCATAACCTGAGAATGTCAGAGAAGTTCAGAAGAGGACAGATTTTGAAGCAGTGGCCATTAAGATTATCGCTCTAGAGCAAAACAATTCATCCTAGACCACCACAATATAGCGACACTGTATGTCATGATCTGCATAGTCTGTGTGAGTGTTTATATGTGTGTACGTGTGTGTGTGTGTGTGTGTGTGTGTGTGTGTGTGTGTGTGTGTGTGTGTGTGTGTGTGTGTTTGTATCGGGTTCTGGTTACAAAAAGGTTTGATGGATTGGTGAGAATTCAACGAAATATCCTGATAGTAAAAGATATCTTCGGTAAGCTCTTCCGGCTATGAATTTTACCCGTAAAAAGTGCTGACTACGCATGGCTTCATACCGAGCTTTCATATGAGTAGGTACATTTGAAACCATATTATTTTCCAACGATCACCCGACCAGCTGCAAAAGGATACCATGCAATATGTCGAGATAGAATAATATCTGAGAGATTTATATCTCTAACAGGCAGTAACGTTGTATATATCCTCTAGAGGACTGACACGGTAAGATGAAACTGGAACCAAGGGACAGTTCAAGAAACGTATACTATTGTGACATCGTGTGAGCCTCATCGTGGATACAACAGCATTACATAGTATTGTAAATCCCTTTCCTGCCTAGCCGGAAACTATTCAAGGCTACTAAAAAAGTATGGTCCAGGTAGTCATGTGGTCAAAATTACAAAAAATATGTTTTTTTTCTACTTCTTTATTAGTTGGACATTCGCTAGTCTAAAAAGCCCATGGCGACGCTGTTCCATTGGGACCACCCCTGGGGAGTCAACGAGGTATCGCCTTACCGGCAAAGTAGAGAAGCCCATAATGATGAAAAATGGATGTATCGATATGAGGGTTCTCTTGGTTTAGATTACGGTGCTCGCCGCTCTATCAGAAGGTTCCCGTGATCGAAACCTGCTAGCGATGAAACGAAAGTATTACATTCATTTCTAAAATGTCTCCATTGTCCTTCTTTCCTGTTCGGTAGTCTTATCTCTATATATTATATTTGTGGAAGTTCGTCACTTTGCCGCCTAAAACTTCATAAACCACTTAACTTTCAAATTTGACAATATTAATGATGGTTCAGAATCATTTAAAGGGTGCAGATTCATTGAGGAGCCTGAAGTCACTGTAGTTTAATTTTCAGTTTTTCGTTAGTTTCGTTTAGATCGAATCTTGGGAAATCCGTCTTCTAAGACGTCATTGTAAACAAGTGGGGGTTCCATTCACTAGCCGTGCGCACCGTCCCACACCTTTGAAATTATGGAGAGCACAACAACAAAAGAGGACTAGAGAATCAATCTATACATCTATTATATATTTGGCAACGTGGAGACACATGTGTCACTTTTCTCTCAAGAATTATTGCTGCTCCATTCCAGAAGAGTGCAAATAGTAGGCCAATGACTTTCAGTTGATGTTAATGCACCGATCATTCCTTTCATCGAAAGGGGGCCCAGCCAGTTATATCATTATTTGCTTTCATTTCCGCTTTCTTCATACCCCCCCCCCTCACCTCTGCCTCCTCTGTGCCCCTCTGTTCCTTACTCCTGACTTTGTCTGCAGCTGCTGGTTCTCCTGGCTCCTTCTCACTGCTGTCTTTCAGCCGCATCCCTGATCTTAAGGTAGGTAAGATCGAACCCCTAACCGTCTCGCAAAAGGGCTTAATAACTAGGAGAAGCAATGTGCAAGTTGTGTATCTTACAGATCTGTTAGTGGTCCCAAAATCGATAAGGGTAGGCTTTGGGCTGTCTCGTTGGAAAAATTAATCAAATAACTATAGCCAAAATTGAAACGGCTCTTGTCTGAATATAAAATATAGAATACTTTTGAAATCAGAATGTGGCTGCTTGAATTAGTTAAATATCAATCGGTCTCCAATCTCTCAGCAGCACAAAATCTGGTATTAATTCCTTTAATAAAAAGATATCAGGTTTTCAGTTTTAGCAGTGTCTATTTTTGTTAGCTCCTCTGTGGGTGTCAAACATTAAAGAACTAAGATTAAGCTTTGCCTACTCAGTGGTAGTCAAAGATCAAAGGACTAAGATTAATTGAAGCGTTGGCTCCTCCGTGGTAGTCAAATATTAAAGAACTAAGATTGATTACAGCGTTGGCTCCTCCGTGGTAGTCAAATATTAAAGAACTAAGATTGATTACAGCGTTGGCTCCTCCGTTGTAGTCAAAGATCAAAGAACTAACATTAATTACAGCGTTGGCTCCTCCACAGTGGAGCATCCGTTCAATGAACTCACCGGCACTGCAGCACCACCAGGATGACCGCCATGTTACCCATCAGGCCGAACAGGAAGATTATGACGTAGAGGAAGGTGCAGATGGTCAGAAGATGTGTGGGCGGTTGGGGGACGTTGTTGACTGCCGGGTAGCTCCAGTTGTTGTCATGGTGACTGCTGGACGCGTTGACAGGGAACAGGACGTCGGAGGACATTGTCTGTGGGAGTTGGACTCACGTGCGCCCCGTGACTTCTCTGCTGGGGAGACACAAGAGACGTACAGCTTGAGATCAGCTAAGTATATTTACTTTTTGGTTTCTGGGGTTTTTTTCCTTGATTTTGTTGTTGTTGTTTTTGTTTTTGTTTTTTGGGGGGTTTTTTGTTTCGTTGTTTTTTGGGGGGTGGTTAGAGATTTTTTTCTGGCTCTTGAAACAAAATTAGGTCTTGTACTTGCAGAAGTACGGCCCTCCAGACACCTGCTTTCCTTTGCCCCCCTCCCCTGGGCTCCTGACCCTTTCTGCAGCCTTTCTACTGCTTCTCTTACTGCTGTCTTTCAACAACACCGCTGATCTTCTGGTACGAAAGATCTACACCTAGCCTTCTCGGACAAGAGAGAAAAATCTCAGAGGTCCCATGTGCAAGTTGTGCACGTTAAAGATCCCTTTGTGATCTAAATTCGATAAGAGTAGGCTTCGGCCGCTACCCGAGCAAAATTCAAAATTTCCTACCACCTGAAAATGTTTAAAGTGTCCGGTGCGGTCATATGACCTTATGCAGTTGCGAGCGCCGTAAAACACTTACCGTACAAAAGACGCCTGATCATAGGTCTGGATTACAGTAATAATGAGATTGGTTACTTACATTTAATACATGTGATTATTATTATCCCCTGGTGTCTGAGTTCCAATATTCACAAAGAAGGCCAAAAAAGTCAGACATCTCCAAATCAAGCCATTACGGCTCAATAGTGCGACAGAATCCGAAATTCCCCGGAAAAAAATGATTACCGACATTTTTCGTTCGCACGCCTGCTTGAAGTAGCCGCAAATGACGCTTTTTATGTAGCCTACATTCAATGAATGGAAAAATGTGAACTCATGAGTTAGGTGAAGGGAAAATGGA